CCCGTCTCCTTTTTCCCGGCTCATTCGTGGTGAACTAGACACCCTATCAAAAGGGAAGAATCAAGTCAAATGGAATTGCGTGAAGCTGACTAGAGCCAGGACCTACAATCGCACCCACTCCTATAGCAAACGCTGGTGCAGGCCCAGCTTGCTCGAGCTCTGTGTCTCAGTCTCTGGCTTTGTGCCTTTCCCCCTCTCCCTGCCCGCCTCTCTGTCCTCACATCTGCCTTCCCTTCCTGCCCTGTCTCTCGCCGTGTCCCTGGCCATCCTGTCCTCTCTGTAACTCCTGCCCCTTGCCCAGCAGAGCCGCCACAGGGCCCCCACTTCCCCTGTCTTGCCGGTGCGTCCTTTGTCTTCATGGCCAGTCCGGGTCCCTCTCCCTCTCTCCCTCCATTTATGAGCCTGTGTGTTAGTGGACAGGGCAGTGGGCTGGAGGCCACTCACTAGTGACCCGTCTCCGCGATCACCTCATTATTTATCACCAGGGACGCCAGTGCTTCCATAAATTACCCCAACCTGGAGCCGCCTGCGCCGGAATCAATAGTCGCCTCTCGACTAATATCCAATTATTAATAACCACGGGGAAGGGTGGCCAGCTGCGGCGCTCTGGGCCCTGGCCTGGTGGGGAGAGGAGGGGAGGGCTGGGTGGGAGCTGGCACCCCTGTTGTGAAATACCTGTGCAGGGCACGAGGTGGCGACCAAGGTGCCCACATTCTCTCCAGGGCTGGGCGATAGAAGCACAGATATAGTTTCACCCTGAGGTCAGAGGGCAGGAGGCAGAGCCCCATCTTCAAGCGCCTCCAAGTCTGCCCTGAAGTCTGCTTGTTCAGGACCTACCCGGGCCCGAGAAGAGGTGCAGCCTCCCAGGGAGGGGAGCTGTGGCAGGACCTCACTCTGCAGGACCTCTGGCTGCAGGCACACCGGAGGCTGCTAGAGGCAGGGTGCTGGGGAGGGGGTGGGTTCCATCAGGGTAATGGGGTTAGCGGGGACTTGAGCCCCGCAGGTACATCTGGATAAATACCTGAGCCCTAGGGGAGGGGCATCAGAGAGAAAGCTGTCATGGCAGGGGAGGGACAGGGGTGCCCCGACCAGTGGAACCAGTGGCCGAGGGGTTGGAATCAAAGCAGCTGACTATGCAGGTGATGGGGGGGGGGGGGTAGAGGCCAGTGGAGGGGAGACTGGGTCTCAGAGGTCCCTAACCTTGAGATATCCAGCACACAGACACACACCCCTCAACTACTGGCTCTCTCCTAACTGCACCCAGAGACCCAGTGGGAAACACATGCTTAGATCAACACAGTCACAAAGCAAAGGCAGAGACACTAAAAAACAGAAATGCAGAGAGGCAGAAAAAGATCACACAAAGTCAGATACATGCCCTGCTAGGCATAAAGACACACACACACACACACACACACACACACACACACACACACACACACAATCAGAGACTCACAGATGCATGGATAAACAGGGACACACAAACACACCCAAACACAGAAATGCTAATACACCCTGGTACTTATCCATGGAGGCATTTCCTCCCACACACACATGCCCACACATGTGGACACAAGTGCACGCTCGCAGCCCATCCCGCACACCCCTGCTTTGTGCACACAGTGGGCACATGCAGCAGCGAAGGCCTCTGAGGGCATCTTGCAGGAGCCAGGATGAGGCTTCTGCTCCTCCGGAGCCCAGTTGGTGCCAACACTGCCACCGTGTGGCTGCAGGGGCACAAAAAAAAAGAAATGAAATTTCAGCGAGCACTCTCATACATTCCTGCTGGTTTTACAAAATGGTACAATTTCTATTGAAGGAAATTTCACATTATCTGTTAAAATTAAAAATGCAATCACCCTCTAAGATAGCAGTGCCTCTTATGGGAGTTTATAAATGTGCACATGTCCAAAGTTACCTGTGGTCAAGGTTATTCATGTAGCATTGTTTACAATAAAAAGTGTGTGTGGGGGGGGAGGGTGTGGGGAGGGCGGAGGACGAGAAAAGAAAAACAAGTGTCAATTCAAAGGGAAACTAGTTGACAGAATACTATGCAGTGATATTGAAATTTTATAGTTTTCTTTTTAGTGATATAAGAGTTGGCAGGATACTTTATTATACAAAAAAAAGAGCAAGGTTTGCCCTGACCAGTGTGGCTCAGTTGGTTGGGCGTGATCCCATGCACCAAAAGATTGCTGCTTTGATTCCCAGTCAGGGCACATGCCCTGGTTTTGGCCTCGATCCCCAGTGTGCGGGCGGGTGCAAGAGGTAGCCAACTGATGTTTTGCTGTCACACCGATGTTTTTCTCTCTCCCTTTCCCTTTCTGAAAAAAAAAATCCACTTTTTAAAAAGAGCAAGGTGCAAAGCAATAGAGCACTTCCTATAAGAAAGGGGGAGGGTAAAGTTTCCTTGTGAGGAGAACCAAGATGGCAGCGTAGGTAAATGCCATACTCACCACCTCACAACCACATCAAAATTACAACTAAGATACAGAACAACCATCATTCAAACCTGTCTGAAGTCTGGCTGAATGGAATTCCTACGACTAGAAAAGGAGAGAAGAAAGTATATCAAGACTGGTGGGAGGGGTAGAGGCACAGAAAGGGCTGGTCCAACACCCACGTGTGGTGTATTTTTAATCAGGAGGGAAAACTCCACTGCTGAGGCCTCCCATGAGAAGTAAATGGTTCCAGCCCTATACAAGACCCCCAGCCCAGGGTTCCAGAGCTGGGAAGAGAAGTCCCGGTAACTTCAGGTTGTAAAAACCAGCGGGGCTTCACAGAGGCTGCTGGAGACCCAGGCAGTCCCTCTTAAAGGGCTGGCACATGCACTTACTTGGACTTGATCCCTCTGGGCTCCAATGCTGGGACCATAGCTCAGGTGAGATTTAGGGACATATGGGAAGGAACTGGATTGTCTGATATTGGAGAAATGTTGGGGTCGTGCCCCAGCAGGTCCAGGGGTTCCCAAAGGTGTGGACGGAGTCGGCAAAGAAGGAAGGACACGGAGGCAGCGTTCAGATCATCATCATAGCCAGGTTTCGTAGCCAGGTTCTCCAGCCAGGTTCTGTGTTTATTGTCTTGTTACATCTGTATTTATACCAGTTGATTTTAATCCTATCAATTCTATTCCAAAGGTTAGGGCGTTTCTTATCTCCATTCCAACGTTACTCTATTGCTCTATTAAGCTACAAGGAGATTATCCTAAGTAAAGATTATGTAGCTTAAGTGTGATTGTTCGTAAAGTGATTAATTACCCACCTGGCACTTAGTTAAGGGGTTTTATTCCCTCCTTAACTCCAGGGAAAAATCCTCACTTGGGGAAACAACCTTTCTCGGAGAGGTGACCTTGGTATAGCGCTAAGAAGGGGAGCAAACATATTAAGAACAGTATGCCATGCCCTGACCGGTTTGGCTCAGTGGATAGAGCGTCGGCCTGCGGACCAAAGGGTCCCCAGTTCGATTCCGGTCAAGGGCATGTACCTTGGTTGCGGGCACATCCCCAGTGGGAGGTGTGCAGGAGGCAGCTGATCAATGTTTCTCGCTCATCGATGTTTCTAACTCTCTATCCCTCTCCCTTCCTCTCTGTAAAAAAATCAATAAAAAATATATTTAAAAAACAAAAAAAAAAAGAACAGTATGCCATATACACCAGGTCCCTTGAAACATAAGCTGTGCAGATGTTTCTTCCCTGCAGCGACTGTGTCAAGCAGCAAGGGTGGACCGGCTTCTGGCAAATTCCCCCATTTTTATTTTTTGAATGACAGCACCTGTAAATCAGCGGCCACTTCTCGGATTGGGTTGTTTAAGACTTGGAAGAAGACTGACAAGCAATGATAGCGAGCATAGCAATAAACATAGTGGATGGAGTGCACACAGAGCCTTGTAGAAGGTTGCTGGCCTCTTCAGTCAAGGATTTCAGCTGTCCTCAAGTTGGTGGTTTGGTTGTCCTTGTTGATCTGTCTAGCAGGTGGCGTCACTGGCGATGGGCTTCCCAAAGTGTCAGCGCATTGAAGGGCTGGATCATGGGTCCATCAGGGCCGTGCTTGATGGTGGTGTCGATGTCTGGGGAGGAGTCAGCTGTGCCCTCTGGGTCAGCTGATATGGATGATACCGGGGAGGAGGAGGAGGCGGAGATGGAGGGTAGTAGAGAGAAAAAGAAGAGAAAGCAAAAGAACTACAAGGCATGGAAGTGTTTAGAAAAAAGAGGGAGAAGAAAGGGAAGAAGGCAGCACCCTGACACAGCCCTTTCCTTCAGCTGCCCCTTTCCCTGTGGTCCAAGGTAGAAATGGGAAACAAGTCCTGTTGCAGTGAGAGGACAGCTGCTGTCAGCCAGTCTCTGTCTTTACCTGGGTCCCGATCTGAGCTGGGCGTGGGAAGCGAAGCAGCCATGGGGGCAGGAGACCTCCCTCAGAAGGAGTGAGGGTTCAGGCCTCTGATTTACACTCGATATCATTTAAAAAATAAAAAAGGGGGAATTTACTGGAAGCCTGTCCATCCTTGCTGCTTGACACAGTCGCTGCAGGGAAGAAACATCTGCACAGCATATGTTTCAAGGGACCTGGCGTATATGTTGTACTGTTCTTAATATGTTTGGTCCCCTTAGTGCTATGTGTTTTAACCAAGGTCACCTCTCGAGAAAGTTTGTTTCCCCAGGTGGGGATTTTTATCAGTAAAACCCCTTAACTAAGTGCCAGGCAGGTAGTTAATCACTTTAACAATCATGCTTAAGCTACTTAATCTTTACTCCCTGGAATGGAGATAACAAACGCCCTAACCATTGGAATAGAATGGATAGGATTAAGACAGATGTAGCAGGAGAAGGAGACAGAACCTGGCTGGAGATCCTGGCTAAATCCTGGCTAGAGAACCCGGTTAGGCTGCTGATCAACTGAACGCTGTGTCCGTATCATTCCTTCTTCACGGACTCCATCCACACCTTTGGGAACCCCTGGACCTGCTGGGGTTGGACCCCAACATCGCGGCAGTGGTGGTGGCAGTGGCAGTGGCTCTCCCACTGGCAGACAGGCTAGAGAGGAGTCCGGGCAGTGTCCGGTGTGGGAGCCGGGGGATCACCATGGCAAAGAAGCGAAAAGGCCGCGTGGCGATCAACTCGGACATGGAGGACAGCGGCAGCGACGAGAACCTGGATCAGGAGCTCTTGTCCCTGGCAAAGCGGAAGCGCAGTGACTCTGAGGAGAAGGAGCCACCTGTGAGTCAGCCTGCAGCCTCCTCAGATTCTGAGACGTCGGACAGTGATGATGAGTGGACGTTCAGGAGCAATAAAAATAAGAAGAAAGGAAAGGCCAGAAAAATAGAGAAGAAAGGAACCATGAAGAAACAGGTCAATAAAACTGCTTCATCAGGCAGTTCGGACAAAGACAGTTCAGCTGAGAGCTCAGCCCCTGAGGAAGGTGAAGTGTCGGATTCTGACAGCAACAGCTCCTCCTCCAGTTCAGACTCTGACTCCTCTTCTGAAGATGAAGAGTTCCATGATGGCTACGGGGAAGACCTCATGGGGGATGAGGAGGACAGGGCTCGTCTGGAGCAGATGACAGAGAAGGAAAGAGAGCAAGAACTCTTCAACCGCATTGAGAAGAGGGAGGTGTTGAAAAGAAGATTTGAAATTAAGAAGAAACTAAAAACAGCCAGAAAGAAAGAAAAGAAAGAAAAAAAGAAAAAACAAGAAGAGCAAGAAAAGAAAAGGCTGACACAGATTCAAGAATCTCAGGTAACATCCCACAACAAGGAACGGTGTTCCAAACGGGATGAGAAACTAGATAAAAAATCTCAAGCCATGGAGGAGCTAAAAGCAGAGAGAGAAAAATGGAAGAACAGAACAGCTGAGCTCCTCGCCAAAAAACAGCCATTAAAAACCAGTGAGGTATACTCTGACGATGAGGAGGAGGAAGAAGATGACAAATCCAGTGAAAAGACAGACCGCTCATCCCAAACACCATCCTCTGATGAAGAAGAAGAGATCCCTCCGAAATCACAACCCGTGTCCTTACCCGAAGAACTGAATCGGATTCGATTATCACGGCATAAGCTGGAACGTTGGTGTCATATGCCCTTCTTTGCTAAAACTGTCACAGGATGTTTTGTACGGATTGGCATTGGAAACCACAACAGCAAACCAGTTTACCGGGTTGCTGAGATCAAGGGTGTTGTGGAAACCGCCAAGGTTTACCAGCTTGGTGGCACCAGAACAAACAAAGGGCTACAGCTACAGCATGGCGATGCCCAACGGGTATTTCGCCTAGAGTTTGTCTCAAACCAAGCATTCACTGAAAGCGAATTCATGAAGTGGAAAGAAGCGATGTTTTCTGCTGGCATGCAGTTGCCCACTCTAGATGAAATCAATAAGAAGGAATTATCTATTAAAGAAGCTCTTAATTATAAATTCAATGATCAAGACATTGAAGAGATTGTAAAAGAGAAAGAAAGGTTCAGGAAGGCTCCGCTTAACTATGCCAAGAAAAAGACTCAGCTGCTAAAGGAAAAGGCCATGGCGGAGGACCTGGGGGATCAGGACAAGGCCAAACAAATCCAAGACCAGCTGAATGAGCTGGAGGAGCGGGCAGAGGCCCTGCACCGCCAGTGGGTCAAGAACATATCTGCTATTAGTTACATCAACCAGCGGAACCGGAAATGGAATATTGTGAAGTCTGAGAAGGCCCTTGTGGCTGAAAGTCTCAACATGAAAAACCAACAGATGGATCCCTTTACCAGACGGAAATGCGCACCTATCATCGTTTCTAATTCCAGAAGCCCAGCTGTTCAAGCTGCCATCTTGGCCCAGCTGAATGCAAAGTATGGTTCTGGAGTGTTACCGGATGCCCCAAAGGAAATGAGCAAGGGTCAGGGAAAGGATAAAGATTTGAATTCTAAGTCAGCCAGTGACCTCTCAGAAGACTTGTTCAAAGTACATGATTTCGATGTGAAGATTGATTTACAAGTTCCCAGTTCAGAGTCAAAGGCTTTGGCCATCACCTCCAAGGCTCCACCAGCCAAGGATGGGGCTCCAAGGAGATCTCTGAACTTGGAAGACTACAAAAAGCGACGGGGGCTTATTTGAACTCACCCAGCCTGCTGCTTCTGACCCTGCATGCCCATCAGTGCCCTGCCTTTCCTCTTCCTTTGATGTGCCCTCTTTGGGCTGGAGCAGCAGTAGAAACTGGGAAGAGACTCTAAATAGAGTGCACAAGTATTCATTTCATTATTATGCTTTGTTATATAGGGTGGGTTTTTTTGTAATATCAGTGCACAATTTAAACATAAATAAACATTAAGATCAGCCTAACGCACTTCTTGATTGCTAATCGATTTCTATTACCTACCAGAAAAGGATTGTGCATTTCAAAGGAGTAGTAAAATGTCAGTTCAACACAAACTCTGCTAACCAGAATATCACACCCCCCGAAGACATACATCACTGAGATTGTTTTTGCCACCCATCTTTTGTGGAATAGGTACAATGAGAATGAGCAGGAAAGAAAATAGCCAGGATGAGGGGGTAGAAAAGGAAAAACCAACTGAGAAATTTCTTATATTGCTGAAAAGGGGGATAGAAAGATCTGGGATGAAGAAAGGCCGAGCTTGATGGGAGGAGCAGATAGGAGAGAAAACACAGTATTATATATAACAGAGACATACGTAATTTACACTGCATGCAAATTAGGTCCTGTGAGGCTGAGTCAAGCACAGAGTGGGCTTAGGGGCCCACTCATGAGCTCTTTTAGACATTCAGCTTCAGACACATCAGCCACAAAGTAACAGTCACAGCAACTGTCAGTAGCGTTTTCTGCTATATACAGCCTAGAGCTTCTTCATCATTGCAACATTTCCAACCAGTCTTCATGGGGCAAAGCAATATGCTCAGTGCCATGCTAGATACAAGATTGAATAAAATACAGTCTTATTGTCCAGGGACCCTCATATTAGAGTGGGGGATCAGAAGAGAGGCACTTAGACTTTCTAAGGCAGGAACTCACATTGGTGGCCTCAGAGCTGAATTGGGCAGCCATACATGTTTTATTGGGCCACTACTGTGTGTGTGTGTGTGTGTGTGTGTGTGTGTGTGCGTGCGCGCGCCTGTTTGCATGCCTATGTGTGTGAATCTGAAAGTCTAAGCACCCTCCATTCTGACCTAGTTCCCACCATTCCCCAAAGCCTTACCATGACAACTCACACATTATCTAGCTGCTTGGTTCTTGAAGGCATTTGAGTTTGCAACTCTTTTGTATAAGTGGATAAATTTGATTGTTGGATTTTTATCATTCTTCTATCACCTTCTTACATAATAATAGCTAACATGATGATATTCCTGACTAGATCAAACAAGTTCTTTTTAAACTAACAGGTACCACCTCCAGTTTCTGTGCTTGCTCTTGGCTAACACTGTGTTTGCCTTTGTTCCCAGAACTATACACGACTAGACTGATAGTTTTAATGATTTTTCAAGAATAATCCATAAATCCTTTTCTTTATCTATGTGTTAGAGGATTATTTTCTGCCTAGACACATCACTGGACTGGCCTTCTTGCTCCCCAATTAATTATTAGTTTGTCTACATTAAATTATACTTGCCATCTGCTGATAAAATTACAAAACTCCTCAAGCCTTTTCCATTGCTTTCACTCTTTATTGCTGGTTTGTTTTGCCTCCTAGCAGTAGAATCAGCTGCAAACTGGGAGGTTTGGTTACTAATTTTTTTCTCCCAAGTCTCTTCTCTATAGTAGAATTTCTTTGTGAAAAATTTCCAAAGGGTAAAAATTTCCTATGCATATATTTTATATACATATGGTTTTGAACACAACACAAAAATCAGTATAGCCAAGCTTCCTGGAAAGCATAAAGAAGAAAGAAATGTACTAGGTGATTTTGAACAACTTCACAATGGGTCATAAAATAATGACTTCTAAAAGAGAGATGCATAAAACAAGGATGAATAGTAAATAGCAGAAATGAAAGGAGATCCCTCAAAATATAATGTAGAAAAATCAACATGAAACAGAACAGCATTGGTAGTAAGTTTAACTCACAGAGCTCTGATTTAGGTGTGCAAGAAATAAGGTGTTATTTTCCATTAAACAAGTTAATTTATATTTTAAGTCCTAATCTTAACAGGTTGGCAAGCTTTCCACTTCAGCCATCCTGGAGTGATCCCCCAGGATGTGATAAGGTTCTAAGGTCTCACATCAGGTCAATGCTTGTGTATTAGTTTGCTCAGGCTGCCATAACAAAATGCCATAGACTGTGTGGCTTAAACAACAGAATTTTTCTCACAGTTCTGGAGACTAAAAGTTCAAGATCAAGATGGCAGCAGAGTTGGTTTTCCCTGAGGCCACTCTCCTTGGCTTGTCTTTCCCTTGTATCTTCACAGGTCTTCCCTCTGTGTGTGTCTGTGTCCTAATCTCCTCTTACAGGAATGCCAGTAAAACTAGATTAAGACCTATCATATGATCTCTTTTTAACTTAATTACCTCTTTAAAGACCTTGTCTCCAAATACAGACACATTCTGAGATGCTGGGGATTAGGTTCCAACATATGAATTGAGCAATGGGGAGCTCAACTCAGCCCATAATAGCCTAGAACAGTGGTCGGCAAACTCATTAGTCAACAGAGCCAAATATCAACAGTACAATGATTGAAATTTCTTTTGAGAGCCAAATTTTTTAAACTTAAACTATATAGGTAGGTACATTGTTATTAACCTACCTATATAGTTTAAGTACTGTTGATATTTGGTGCCTCTCCCGCGCTGCATATCCCCCGGCCCACCTGCGCAGCGTCTCCCATTGCCCGACCGACCGACACCCCCACTTCTTCTAATGCCACTTCTTCAAAATAGACTCGCCCAGGCCGAAAACGGACTTCTGCGCATGGGCCACGAAGTTTCAATCGCACTGTACCCGCGCGCCCGCACGTAGTATTTTGTGGAAGAACCACACTCAAGGGGCCAAAGAGCTGCATGTGGCTCGAGAGCCATGGTTTGCGGACCACTGGCCTAGGTGGCCATCAGCCAGTGTTCCACACAGAGATAAGAGCATTATCTCTGGCCATGAGGTCCCTGTCCATTCAGGCCAACTGCTTTCTGTTGCTTTTAAGCAATGCTGGGGTATCAGGATGGCTCCATAAAGCTATGATCCACCATAGACCCATGTCCTGGGCACATCTTGCACCATTTGAGACCACCAGCACCACCAGCACCACCAGCACCTGCACCCCAGAAATGACAGAGTGACCTCTGCTATTCAACACCCCAGTCCTCCCTTCTGTCATCCAAATGGGAAACTTTCCTTTTTGGTTTTGGAAAACCTTGCTAGGCTCTATTTCCTGTCTGCCGCTGCCTTTCCTAAGATGATGAAGTATCTGCTTAAATTGAGAGAATCAAAAATGTGCAAAAATTAATTAGGATCTCACACTACTCTTTGGTTACATATGACAAATACATGTGTCCATGAGTGTTTATGCTTTTTCCTATCCCAGTGTCCTAAAAATTTTGTTTCCTATTTTGTAATTATATTTTTTTCAATTAAAAATGGTAATGTCTGCCCGGCTAGTGTGGCTCAGTGGTTGAGTGTCCATCATGAACCTGGAGGTTACGGTTCAACTAGTCAGGGCACATGCCTCGGTTGTGGGCTTGAACCACAGAAGGAGGGCAGGGGAGAGTCAATCCATGATTCTCTCTTATCATTGATGTTTCTATCTCTCTTTCCCTCTCCCTTCCTCTCTCTGAAATCAATAAAAACATATTTTAAAAAATCAACTACCTCCAGAGAGCATTTTCTCAAAGAAGGGAGACTTATTTCCTTTCCTCCTTTTTTCTTCTCCCACCTCCACACTCAAAATACTTTATGTCGGGAATAAAGAAAAGCAGCCCCTAAGGTCTGCTAACTGCTGGAGAATTACAAGTTCACTTGGGAACAGGTGTAGTGACTGGCACCCGAGACTTCCAAGATTCATCTCTACTTGTTTCACCAGATTTCTCCAAGTGGTAGGAAATATGTGCACAGTTGTTCTCAAATTTCACATCTTATCATTTGCACCAACAGAGAAATATCAATTGACCTCTTTTGCTCTGAGGCCAAAAATCCTAGAGCAAGAGCTCATGGGCTCTGTTTCCTAGGTGCCCTCTCCTGGGCCAATCAGTTATGGTTGGGGCGGAGGGCAGAGCAACTCAGGTAAGTACATGGCAGGGTAGGCCCCAGGAAGGTTGGGTTATTCAGAGAAAAGGGAGGCTGGGCAGAAAATCCCATAAAAGTCCAGAACCAACAAATATATCATTTATACCCATGGGTGGTTACCTAACTGATAAAAGCATCCATCATTTCACTATTATAAAAAAAAATAATGAAATATACTCTTAGCTTACTTAAATGTGCCTAAAATTGCAAACCAGCTGACTTTTAAACTATTTATTTCAAACTCCAAAGATTCACATTTCTGGAGTGAAAGCTAGCATTTCCCAAAGGAGAGAAGAATTAATATAAATGCTCTTTTTCTAGAGAATATAAATAAGAACCAGCACTCACAACATGTACATCAGAAAATGCCTGGCCCTAGCTAGTTTGGCTCAGTGAATAGAGCATTGGCCTGTGGACTGAAGGGTCCCAGGTTCGATTCCGGTCAAGGGCACATGTCCAGGTTGCAGGCTTGACCCCCCATAGGGGGCGTACAGGAGGCAGCCAATCGATGATTCTCTCTCATCATTGATTTTTCTCTCTCTCTCTCCCTCTCCCAAATCAATAAAAATATATTTTTAAAAAAGAAAAAGAAAATAATGAGGAATAAAGAGTCCATGAATGTGATTTGTGGCTTAAAACAAAGAGGAGCTAGAGAGGAGTGTCCAGGGTAAGAAGGTTTTGCTTGTTTATTTATTTGCTTACTAGAAGCAGAGACAGGAACTTACTCTGTACTAGGCAGGCATTGGGCCAGGAGTTTACATGCATTATTATTTCATTTTTACTCACCCTCCTGAAGACAAAAAATAAAAATAAAAAAATCCCCATTTTGCCCAGGAGAAAACCAAAATGCAGTGAATTTAAGTGATTTTCCCAAGTTAAGAGCCAACAGGGGGTGAAACTGAGATTTTTAATTCAGGTTCATCTGCAAGTGGGCTGCAAGGATTGGTACTCCCTACAGTATGTGTACCCAGCAGACAAAGTAGAACAACAATGAGAGAA